TAATAATTCTTATTATTAATAAAGTGTATTACAACTGTAATTCTCATGTGCATCTTGCTGAAAATGAGTTGAACATCCTGATCTAACCGATTACCTGTTGGAGTCAATTCAGTTCAACATGGCCGCCACCAAAACGGCTGCGAGTCAATCATTTCGACAAACATTGAGCTAAAATCTGCTGTGGTAGTAGCTGAGAGTCTTTCTCGACACTAACTAAACGTGACATACGACTTCATCAAGTTGTGCTTTGAGAAAACAAACAATTTGTGGCAGAAAGTGATTAATAAAAGGTTAGGTGGATTTCCCCCGCCTCACCCCGGTTCTGAAATCTCCTCCTTTGATAAGCGACGACGCAGGAGTGAAGAAGCAGAGCAAGAAAAACAGACTAATCTATTTCCAATCAGCTTTCTAATTAGCGCAGAGAAATGATGCATTGTGACCTGTAATCAGCTTCAACCGTTTGATTTGAGTCATTATCATGGATATTGTAATTTCCTCCGCACCAGATCCATCGAGTGGAACTGGGCAGATGGAAAGAAAAAAAGTGTGTGTGTTGAGGGGGAGGGTCAGCCGGAGGATGGACATTAAGATATGACAGGAGCAGAGTCATTACAGTGACATTCCTCTGTCTGCCGCGGCGCAGCCCCCGCCGGGCAGCTTTAATCTCAGCCTGCGGTGATTGGCAGCGCACGTYAGCGGCCCCTCTAACAACCCCATGTGGACTTTTACCATTTCATTTCCCAGCTGGCACATCAGGACTGTCAAAAACAACAATCCTCTGATCCCATTTTATCCACTATTCCCTCCCTAAAATGGATCCACCGTGTCGGAYGAGATCCTCCTTTTAAAGGAAGAGTCAGAGCGTGAGGAGTTCGGATGTTTACGTTTGAGAGCTGGAAAAGCCTGAAGGAAACGAGGTCCTTCAGCCGCATGAACGGAGACGTCACCGTATGATTTACGTGGAATCGGAGGAAAACTGAAAGGATATGGGTGAGGGCTAGGTCTCGGTTCAGGATAGCCGTCTGAAGTTCGTCCTCCAAGGCGATTAGTCTGTCGCTGATCAGCTCGCAGTGCTCCGTCAGGTCTGTGGCCTCGGCCTCGCTGCACACGTCCTGGAAAACGGAACAAAATGAAGAAATAATCAGAACAATATTTATTAAAAGTATATAAAGGCAAACTGACAGTGCTGAAGTGTATTTTATCTTTTAACTCTGAGCAGTGATGGTTCAGCATCCTGCTATTGTTTTCCTAATTATTATTTTTCCTAWTTTTTATTTTTCCGTAGGTGTTTYRTAATCAAGCTACTCCCACATACTTKGTTCTATTTTAACCATTCATATATAAAATGTTCATCTCAACTRGGAATTGTCTGATACGACTTTTAATCTTTGTAACTTTTACACTTTTTGAGTAATTTAACTTTATCTACAAAAGAAATTCCCAATAGAAATACACTGAGATCACTTCATTTCCTAAAAAAAATTACATAAAATCTACGTATCGCTGTTTTTTATGCCTCTTTTAGCCTTAAGCTGCGGTCTTGCTGTTTTGCTAAGTGTATCTTTTAGCGACGGTTTTGCTACATTTACTTTACACGTCTTGATCAGTGGTGGGCACAGCTATGCTAACCCGCTCATCCGCTAATAGCAAACCTAGTTTCTCATTTTGCAGATGAACTTTTTTTTTGCTAACTTTGGGAACTGCTAGCGGACTGATTAGCTTCCACTAATTTTAATTTCACTAAAAAGTGATCCCACCCACCTTTTAAATTAAACAAATATAAAATTAACAAATGGTTAGCGTCAGTCCCATCAGTCTCTAACTGACTTAGCGGTTAGCTTAACGACTTAAGATTCTAGTTTAGCAGATTAGTGGTTAGTGAAACAAACYTTTTGGTTAGCTGTGCTAATCATTGGGTCTTGATATATTTATCTTTAAGCTGCTGTCTTGCTAATTTTAGCTTTTTATTGTTTTGCTAATTGTAGCTTTTAGCTACTGTTATGCTACAGTTACCTTTCATCAAACTTCTTGATCAGTGGTGGGCACAGTTCTGCTGACCCGCTAATCCACTAATTGGAAAACTAGCTTCTCATTTTGCAGATTATCCTTTTAGCTAACTTTGGGAACCATTAGCACTAAATTGGCTTCCGCTAATTTTAAGTCMACTAAAAAAACGATCCCACCCACCTTAAACCAGAAGAAAATCAACTAAAGGTTTGTGTCAGTCCCACCAGTCGCTAATGGTCTTAGCGGTTAGCATTAGCTTCCTTAAATTTTTCTTTCTGTTCAGAGTTAACGACCTAAGATTCTAGTTTAGCAGATTAGTAGTTAGTGAAACAAACWTTTTGGTTAGCTGTGCTCATCACTGGTCTGGATAAATTTAGCTTTAAGCTACTGTTTTGCTCATTTTAACTTTTAGGTATTGTTTGATTTATTTTAGCTTCCACTTGGACAGCGCTCTTATTTAAAAAGGTAGAATACTGTGCTTTCCTTAAACAATTCATATTTAAGAAAAAACAGTTTGCAACATTTCTTATATTTCTGTCAGGCAAACTATCTCCGATTGTTACAAAGCTTTGCAACATGCTGCAAAAAAATATAATAAAAAAATCACAAACTTCTTTCCTTGCAGTTAAAGGAACTGCTAACCAGTCACACTGTTCGTTGTAGAATGTGAAAGCTTTAAGATTTCCTTGAACGAGCGTCAGTGATGCGAATGGTTTGGCTAACTTGATATCATGCTTCCGCGGCAGCTCCAAGGTCATAAGATAAATGAGACTCAGCGGGGTGGAAGTGCGCCACATTTGGTGGCGTATCTGCACATCACAACAGAGGATGTGGCGCAGCTGACGGTGTTTGGAAAGACGGCAGGCCCACAGAGGAGTAGAGTGCAGCGGGGCCGAGCGTTCGGAGAGGAAAACCGGCCATAATTAGACCGGCCCCCTTTTGCAGACATCGTGTCCTAGTTTCTTCACACATATGGAACACACACACACACACACACACACACACACACACACACACACACACACACACACACACACACACAC